CGTGTGTGTCATTTACACATTCATGGCTGTAAGAAATATTACTTCCTCGGTTGGCTTTGGAAAATCATTTGTTTTTCGAATTCTGAGTAGACACAATGAAACTAGATCATTTTCTCCAGAAAAGAAGGGCATATACGGAAGGAAAAGGAAAACAACTCAAAATTTCTTCTATTCCTACTCCGAAATGGCATTATTAATCCAACAAAAACTAACAAACATCTTAAAAGAGATCTGTTGTCTATTGGTATTAGCGAAGATTATCGCACTTACCAATTCCACATTCATTTCTGTGCCACCAGAAATGACCACTGACTTGACACTTAAGCAAATGTCTTCCGTGTGTCATTTACACATTCATGGCTGTAAGAAATATTGCTTCCTCGGTTGGCTTTGGAAAATCATCTGTTTTTCGAATTCTGAGTAGACAGAATGAAACTAGATCATTTTCTCCAGAAAAGAAGGGCATATGCGGAAGGAAAAGGAAAACAACTCAAAATCTGTTCGATTCCTACTCCAAAATGACATTATTAATCCAACAAATACTAACAAACATCTTAAAAGAGATATGTTGTCTATTGGTATTGATATTCATCCTTCAAATAAAAAGTGTAGCCTTCTCCCTCCTAGGAGGAGGGAAAATGAATTGAAAAACAACTTTTGATACCCCAAATGAAGCAAAAACGAGCATTTTATAAAAATATATAACCGCTAAGTGGAATAGAATACAATAAACGATAAACATAAGATTTCCTTACACGCATTTTTACAGAAAAAATAATCTACTCGTATTTTCAAATACCTTTTTTAAATTATGGTTCTGTTAACTTGGTGTTTTGCTGTTTGATCGAAATACTGCAATAAAAAGAACCTCGCTTTTAATTTTGACAGCATCAAATCATCAGCATTGGTTATAACAAATCTGTTCAAAATTTTGTTTTCATTATCATACTACAGAACTGCATGATGAAAAATAATTTTAGATTTGTAGTTAATTTTTTGAATACTTCTAAGCAATTTCGCCCAGCTGAAGAACTCACAGAACGGGAAAATCTTCAGATTGAAAACCTTTCCTTATCGGATCGACTGAAGTCAGGAAATAGGAAAGCATAAATCATACACATGAGAACACAAAGAAAAAAAAAATTTTTTTTTTCTGCAAACAAAGTGAAGGCCAGTTTTACTGTGATTGATTGCAAGAAAGAGAAATACGTAAATACTGCATAGAAAATTCTAACAGTTATTTTCTCTAACAATTTTTGATTTTCGAGTCATTTATTCTGAGTGAATAAACTGGTGTGAATGTACGAGGTTTTTCTTTTTAAATTGCAGATAAGAAAATAATGGTTCATAAAGTACTTAACCAAATAACTGTTAGCTTACTTTATTTTAAAGGGGAGGGGGATATGCACGAAAATTAATGTTGCTTATGAAATTCCGGAATCAGTTACCAAAAAGTTTAAAAAAAGAAAGCGGGTAAAACAAAATTTCAGAAAATAAAATTATTTTCCTTTCTTGAACTGTATTGTTACGAATTTTGTGTATATGTAAATAATTTTAATGAAATTATATGTAAATTGTAGTATCTTTTGTATAATGTAACACGAAAGTCCTCAAGAAATCCGAAACATAACCGGAAAAGTAGGATTACAGGAGTAAGCCAATTTAACATTAATGTAAACTGCAAGCTGGCCATGGCTTTGGCAACTAATTTTTGTCTCCAAATTTGACGGGAAACAGAGGCGTTGAGGTTTTCAGCGCCCGGGGACAACTGAAGATCTTGTGCCCCTTTCTGTGTACCAAGAGTGAAAAAAGTTTCATTCTAAAATTTTGTACCATTAATTTGGCGCCCCTGGATGCTGCGCCCGGGGACAGATGTCCCCCCCTTTGCCCCTCCCTAGCTACGCCACTGACGAGAAATCACCAAAAGTTGCCAAACTTAGAGACTATTTGAGGAAATTTAGGTCCGATTCCTGTATCACTGTAACTGGTTCGATTTTTATGTAACTGTAACCGGCTCTATAAACTGAAACTGTACACAATTTGGCAAGATCGAAGGTAGTGGAGATTTCTTGGCGAATTGGAGGGGGGGGGTGCTATAGAAGACCACATAGAGCATTAATTCTCAGTTCCTTGATAAATTTTCTGGTTTTTTTTCAGTAAAATCTTAGAATTTAGCAAGATTACTAAAGAACTGGTTTCGCAGGATACAAAAATACAGCTTGCCCTGCAGTTTCTAGGACTTATTGATAATTTGAATAACTAACTCTCTTATACTTTACAGCAGGGTTTCTTAAACTTTTTTCAGTCAGGATCCCTTTTTATCACTGAAATTTTTTCGCAACCCCCTGGACCCCATAATATTTACAAAAATTTTGTGAGAGCCCATAAGTATTGCACAAATCCGACATACGCTTGAGTGAAACCATCAATTTTTTCACTTGTACTTGTAATATACTATTGCAGTTTTAGGTCATCAACTTTAATTTCTAGTTTTGAGACAAAGAACAATGTGAAAATTTTAATTAAGTTACAGGCGAAATGACAGCATCACTTGCAAAGAAAATAAAATAAACGTTTATACAGTAAGACCCCGCTTAACGCTGTTTCGTTTAGCGCTGTTTCGGTTTAGCGCTCTTTTATTTCAACCCGGGGATTCCGCGAAATCGCTCGCAGCATACGGGGATTCCCCGAAATATTATGCAGCGATAGGTTTCAAATACATATCCGAAAGAGTGTACTTTTATTTCTTGTTTGGTGCGGTATTGTACAGACATATTTTTATTATTGGAAACATTCAATTCAAGAAGCAGCGGCTAGTCTTTCTAATGATGAGCTCAGGGAATTAACTGAACAAAAAGAAAACAAAAATGTCGACAGCAGTGATTCAGAAGAAGAGCAAAAAGAACTTTCGATGGCGTTTGTAAAAAGGAGTTTGTCTACCATAACTGAAATAATGGATCAATTCATTGAAAATGATCCGAATTTCGACAGGAGCTCAAAAGTAAGACGTGGTGTTAGAGATGCTCTATCCGTTTATGAAGAACTTTTAAGAGAACAACGCAAAAGAAAAAGGCAAACAACATTAGATGCTTTTGTCACAAAAAGGCAGAACACTGAAAAACGCGCGAAGGCTAACTAAATATGACTGACTGAGAATTTTATTTGTTTTTTTTTAAGAATATTCGTTTTGTTATTTATATTTTGTTTTTATTTTTGCAAGAAATAATAATGTGGTATTAATTTGGGCTTTAAGAAATAAATGTTTGGTTTTATTTTTATTAAAAAAAACATACTTTTTAAAATTTAATACCTAACCAATTTCCTAGCCATCTTCCCCTAACCCCAATATTACATGTAAAGATAGCCTCGTTTAGCTCTGTTTCGCATTACGCTCTACTTTGATGGAACGTATCCCCCGCGTTAAGCGGGGTCTTACTGTATTATAAAATGAATGTGTAAAAACGTTTTTTTTTTTTTTTTTTTTTTTTTTCTCCTTGGTCTGTATTGTCATATTTTTATTTATTTTCAGATACATTGTGTAAAAATATTTGGTAATCGTAAAATTATTATAATATGTTAAAGAAATATCAAAACTGCTCAAATTTTTGGCGACCCCCTGCTGCAGGTCCCCCGACTTCCTTGGGGATCACGACCCACAGTTTAAGAAACCCTGCTTTACAGTAAGATGAGTGTGAACAATTGTACCAGACCTCAACAGATGGCGCCACCCCTTCATCATTCACTACTCTTCTTTCCCAAGCCAGTTACCCTTTGGCTCTTCCCTCCCATCTTTAAGACTTTTAATTTTTAGTTTCTGTATTTCTTTTACTACCTGAATTAAACCTGAACACAGCTAGTAATTTACTCTAGCTAATAGCGGCATTTGGAACTTGGAACAATTCTCAGTTTAATTCAGAGTTTAACCCAGGGTATTGAGAGTGAGGGAGTACAGCTTAACGCACTTGTGGCCTTTTATGTGGTGTCGTGTTTAATGTTTTTAGTGGTCTGAAGTAGTAACTACTAGTAACTACTAATTGTGCTCTGTCATGGAGGGCTCTTCGATTGCATTTTGGAAAAGTTCAGAAATGTATACCGTTTCGTTTGGGAAAATAAATTTCATCAAGCAATCACCGGTTCTGTGAGCATTCAATTGAGGACGAAAGGTTTCTTGAACTGAATTAAAAAAATAACATTAAAATGAAAGAATAATAAAAAAATCTGAAAGATTTCAGAATTTAAATTACGCCCAAAGGGCCGTTTTTTTAACATTTTTTGTGTTACCTTAATTTATTAAATATCATGTTCTTTGCACTTAAACCATAAAATTCACTTCAATAGCAATGTCACAAAATAATTCTAAAATGAGCATATCTTTAGAATTTCCGATACACACCGGCTCTTTTAATGGCATTTTCAGTAAGCTTTTAATGTCGGATGACTGTTTGGCCCAGTTGATATACTGAGTTTATCGTTCCTGCACTGCTTCATTTGTTTTCGCTACCTATAATTATAGAAACCCCGTTTTAAAGAAATATATTGCATATTTTGAATCTTGCGTATCTACATTACATGCAAAATAATTTTATTTGGTACCTTCTGTTCGTTAATAACACAGGAATTCACGATCTGAGTATGAAATACTAGAGCAGCCTTGGAAAAAGAACAGGGGCATTTTATTATGATCGATATAAAATTCACGCTAATCGTATTATAATACAAGACATATTATTAAACGTTTCTTTTACAGTAAACGATCAAAAATCCCGTTTCAAACCTTAGATGTTATAACGCTTGAAAATAAGTATCATTATGTTTATATGGACTGTTCGATGAAATAAATTATATTGAATTATTAATTTTATGTACTGGTTAACGCTTGAGTGTAAACGTTCGAGTAGAATAAAAGAAGTAAATTAATTGGTTGGCCCCAAAAAATAATGGATAAATAACATCTGGTAGTGTGAACGTGTTCCTGAGTGAAGAGAAAGCAAATAATCACATTGCAGTAAAATCTTTTTTTATTGTTTCATTACTAGTCTGCAATTATTTGAAGACATCAAATTATAAAAGGCGTTTTTTTGACAAAGAAATCATTACGCATGGAGGTGAAATACAGAAGAATTTCCAGTGGAGTACTTGGAATGCGTTGCAATGGTATTAAAGCCAGGTCTTCGATAAAGTCGTTTCTCATTATGCTGCTAATTTGGAGGATCATTTTATGGAGTTTTAACCTAGAAATAAAATAAAATTACGAATTTATCTAAGAGATATACAAGACATGATACATTTAAACGATGATACTGACGGAATGATCGCAAATAAGCTTTTCCGAGTTTAATTAGCATTATTATTTTAATAGATTTGCCCGAGATTGCTTTTGGTGATGATAAAATTCACCACTTTCATTTATTTCAAACTAGCGCAAATAATCGATGGCAGTTAAGTTGAATTCAGAGTAATGCACTTAACAACAGAGAGAACGATGCCGCTGTAACACTTCTCTAATAACGATGTAAAAAAATACTATTGATAGTCATACATTTTTCAGTCTGATGCGATATGGAACCCACATAAAATTTTTTGATAGAAAAATAAACTAATTCTCATTACATCAGCAACAATGGCACGCAGTTTTTAATGATTTCCGTCTTTCTAATCAAATGGTCGTAAAAGCTCTTCCATCTAATATTTCACCTACATTCAATTTTAGTCGATTAAATGTCCTAAAAAATGTATCGGTACTTTTCCGTTTCGCCGGCGCAAATCTCGCCAAGCAGACTTTGTTGGCGACAGCATACAGTATACACATAAAAAATGTTAACAATTGTTAGTTTAAGAATTTTTTATTTTGAAGGCATAAACATTTTAATTTGGTTTAAAATTTTGTAAAAAGCCAATAAATAAAGACAATAAATTTGCAAAAAGACATTAATTTAAGAATTTACTATGCTTTCATGATTCAACATCCATACGAGTTCTTTTTCCATACGTAAAAAGCTTTTCTGTTCAGAAATCAATGCCTTTAAATCAGATATCAATACCTCAAAACTTTTAAATTCAAGAGCTCTTAACTAGAAGAGAAACACGCTAATGTGACAATCAAAATTGTAAAACAACCTTGTATTTAGCGTAGGTATAATGAAACACTCAATCGATTTCGAGGGCAGCTAAAGGTCCCTCCTCATCAGGAATCATAGTTGGACTTTTAACCATAATTTTGATTTTGGCTCTGCAAAAATTATCCAAAAGGCTTCTTCCATAGGTGAATTGGATTTTCTTGAGGCTTTTCACATTCACAAAGATTTAGCAGGTTTAGTTAATGATTTGAAGTCCAATCCAGTCCTTCCTAATGCCTTTAAAATTCTACTATCTTAATTCAGTTATTTTTGCCGATAGATGGCGTTACCTCCTCGCGTTTGGTCAAAGAATCTCTAAGGAGAAGAAGTAAAGGTTCCCCGGGGCAAATGTGGCTCCGTCAGACCAAAGAGACACATTATGTATATCCCTGAAGCTTACTTTAAAGGGGCAAACCATTCCAAAGCTATCCACCCTCCGTACCTGACTGCGCATGTGCGAAATAACATCAGGAGGCAACAAAGCAGCATCAAAGAATGCAGCATGCCGTCGGCCATGTTAGCAATCTTTTACCACGTTGTTCGAAAACGTTCTTTGTTGTTGTAGTCAGAGGTACTTGGTTTTAGCTATGTGAAATTCTTTTAAAGACTTTTTAAATGTAATGCTGTAAGTGAAATGGTTTTGGCTATTGGGTGAAAACTTTGCTCTTGGTTTTCACAATGGTCATTCCAAATAATTGTCTAAACGTTTTCATGGTAATTTGTTTTTAAAGTTGTTGTCGGATAATTATAATGTATTTCAGTGTTTTCAATTTATTTAGGGGTGCCTTTAATTGTCTTTAAATATTTTTTCTGTTTCAGTTAGTTATTGCAAATTTTGCTTTTAAAATTTCACTGTAAAATTTTAACTATGGATCCATAAAAATTTATTACGTTTTGTATGGCATGTGTTTTCCCCCCTTTTTAAGTTTACAGAAGAAAAAGAATTAAGAAATTTATTTCATTTAAATTTTGTCTTCGTACGGCTCGCTGTTTAAATTGAAAGTAAAAATTGGACAGGATTTCTATAATTCGCCCCAAAATTCCAACTAACATCCTTTTGCTCATAAAACTCCAGAAATGTATGAAAATAAAACATTTTGAGTTATTTCAAAGTAAAAAATTTACTATCTCCTCGAACTGCGCTGTTTAAATTTCACCCTGCGCTGGTGTTTCACTGCATAGCCGTGGCTCTTCGGTACAGCGGCGCAGAGGCGAAACAGGTTTACATTGCGTCTATGGAAGCTTTCATTCTTCTCCTTAGAGATTCTTTGGTTTGGTACTACCAGAGGGTATAAAAATCCGTTCAGTGGTTGCTTTCCATTAATTGAAGTTCAGATTTTGAGGTAAGGTGCATTTGCCCTCGCTCCCTATTTTAACTTCGCTAATTTTTTCTTGTCCTTTATGCTTGATCAGATAGCCTGGCTCAGTAAAAGTAGGTGGCCAGTGCAACTCTGATTAAAAATCTAGTTATAACCACGTGCAGTGCTGATAAGGACCACGTGTTTCTGTGACTCCTTTATTTTCTTCTTTCTAAGTATTCCTTTCTTCTGATGAGGAGGGACCTTTAGCTGCCCTCGAAATCGATTGAGTGTTTCATTATACCTACGCTAAATACAAGGTTGTTTTACGATCAAGAGCTCTTCTTAAGATTTGCAATGTTGTTTTAAAATTAGATAGATGATATAACGTCGCCATTTTCTTTCGTATCACTCTCATTGCCATTTTGAGTTTCTGTAGCTACTTGAACGCTTTCTATTTCTTTTTTGCGAGAGTACTTTGCGAGAGGCCATATATCCCAGACTGACTATCTGTAACATGGCTGGCCTTTAGCAAAGTCATCGGCTTAGTCATCTGCTTTGAAGTACTTCCTTTCTACAGGAATAAGTGTCGTTTATCTTTTCCTGAACAACATATTTTCGTTACCGGTATTTAAATGCTTTTAAAATAGGTATTTAAAATTTTTCAAAGGCTGGATAATAGAAGTTATATATGGAGGAAGAAATATTTATTTAGTGCCTTTCAGAACGAGATAAGAGAGATGTGCAGCACAGTTATCTGAAAGTAAAACTTATATTTCCATTTTTCAGTCCGCTGTGCCATTTCAAATGAAAATCACTAAAAATCCACATTTAGCTTCATAACTGCTTTCAAACATCGATGTTTTCTGCTTTTGACAGTAACGAATATCTTCTTAATTGTTGCCTTCATATTGCACGTTAGTAAAACACCAACTCTTTCTTTCAGTTACGGAAAACTACTCGCTGTTTCACCTTTAAACATTAATATGTGATCTGGTTTTGATCTCCAATACAATTCAATTTCTTCTCTAATAAATTACACATGGCATATATTCCTTTAGCCAGGATCAGGTAAAATGTTTCTTATACAGTTATTAGTCATATGATGATCTACTTCTCGCTTCTCATGCAGTTTCTGATGAACGATGTTATTTCTCTTTTTCCATTTTGCTAACCATCCATCAGTTTGTATAAATCTCTGTCCAGGTATTTTAGCGAAGTCGACATATTTTCATGGTTAACTGTTTGTTTGATTTGCTGAAAAAGTGTTACAGATTTCAAGTACCACTTCTGGTTGTCCATTTTTGCCGAAACCGAATCAACTGCGTATAAGATTGCAGAAAACTTAAATACAAAAATTAAAGTTTGATTTAAGAGTTATCGTAAACAAAAACTACGTCACACAGATATATACGTCACACAGATATACGTCACACAGTTAACGGACAGACGTAAAATGTGGAACCTTAATTTGTGCTTATTCATTGAAAACTTGCTCAGCAGCGGCCCAGCGATGTGAAGCGTGTAACCACTTTCCCTTAGAAAGGTCCTCCACGAAGGCATCCCTTCTCTTAAGCAGATAACCCTCGACTGCTTTGCCATAATGAACATAAACCAAAGCAAAATTAACTGAAAACTCATTATCGAACTCATGGTCCAAAACCATTAACTAACATACCTAGGTTTATAATTTGGAGGAAAGTAATAAAAGAAGGAAGAAAAAATGTACTTCATGAACTGGCGCCATTCTATTTATTCTGCCTGTATTTTATGCTAGGTATATAACCACACCAGATGAAATAGCCCTGAATGGCAACAGGTGAGATGGTCCTAAATTATAATTAAGATACATTATAAATTGCCTATTGCTTGAAATACCGGCGTAAAATTTAAATCCTTTTTTTTTTTAAATAATATTTATAAACTCTCTCCGTAGTAAAACCAAAACCCGATTTTCTATTCATTTAAAATTATTTTGTAGGTTATACAGAAAACTGCTAAATAAAATAATGTTTACTTTGATGAAAATACGGGTTCACTTGTTAAATATTCATTTATTATAAACAGGTAAAAAATTAAAAATAATGAGGGAAAAAATCACAATTATGAGGGAAAAAATTCATAGATTCATTATCTGACATTTAGTGAACAACAGTGTTCTGCCCTCAGTTGATTAGTAAATAGATGGCGCAATCATCGTACCAAAAATGTTTAGTTAGCTAGTTTGACTCATCATGTTCAGACGCGTAACTTGAAGCGTCAAAAGGGCAAAATCCTGCAGCCTCACTTTTAAATGTGTATCATTGTGTGTTCATATAATATTATATCCTGTTCTTGGACATAATAAACGTTGTATGGGAAATCTGTTAAATCCTTGGAATAGCTTACCGATCAGCCTGAAATCACACCTCTGCATACCTTGGAGCTGAATCATCAACGCTCAAATAGGAATAGCTGAAAGAAAAAATAATTTCATTAGTTCTCTGGAACTAATTTCATTAGTTCATTAGTTCATAGATGTACAGAACGTATCCACGAGTTGAAATTAGCACAGTAATTAATAAATGCAAAAGATGATAACTGAAATTAGACATTTTCATTTGCTGTCATTTGAAAATATAGAATAAAGACCTCAAAATTATTACTGCTTTAATAAAGTGACTTCTAAAGGCCTAGGTCGAGCTTGCCGTTTGAAGCGGCATCTGAATTTTCCGCCTGAGGCGGTCTTCGATTTTGCGGCTCATCTTTATGTATATATATATATATATATATATTCAGGGTGCCTCCACGAAAGTCCGGTACCACACGTTTAATTGCCGAACGGCTGCAGCTATAGTCATAAAATTGGCGTCTAGGTATTGTAAAGTGGTTATACTCTACTAGATGAGATAGCTTATAGCACCACCTGGTGGAAAACGGAGGAGTTAGCCTCCCTATCTCGAAAACGATACGAGATAGGAAGAAAAAGTGAATTACAAAGTTGTAGAGCATCGCCGATTTAGTACGAATAGACACCTTGTAGATATGAATGCTGAAAACAGAACGCTGAAAAAGCACATTTGTTTCTTCGTGATTTCCGAAACTGTGACGTCACGAGAACTTGAACGAAAGGAGAAAAGATTATCTTCCAGACGAAAAACGAGCAGGCACCGCGTCACTGCGGTATCGCTTGGAATTCCCACTCGAGAGGACTATGGTTCAAACTCTGCGGGGTGCATCCTTGTACTGATTGTCTTTACATACAGAGTAGACAATATGCAGATCGTGCACAATCATGTAGTGAAACGCATCAACTCAGCATAACTTGAGCTTGGTGGGCGAATTTGTGCATTATGCAAATAGTGTATGAAGTGTCACACATATTCTTCTGAGACAGCTATAAAAGAGACATGTTCTCGTGATTGTATGTTGAAACTCATGGACATGGAGCGATTTTCACAGAATGATTATTGTGAGATGGTTTTACTTTACAGTGAATGTGACTGTAAGTCACTATCAAAGCCCACATCCTTTATACAAAATCATCCTACAGGTTGTGAAACGTTTAAGGAAGATAGGCTGCGTGACTAGCCGACTTCGATCCGGCAGACTAGCTAAGGTAGGGAGGAAAGTGCAACCGGAAAATGTCTTATCATACGTCCTGACATATCCAAATAGCAGCGCAAATGAGATAAGTGAAAAATGTGGCTCTCAAAATGTCGCGATTTGAAAATCCTAAATGAATTAGGTGCTTATCCATACCGATCAACACCTAATCAGGCATTACTGAACGGGGATGACGATAGACGTTTCGCATGGTGCAACTTCGTCATGAACCAGACAGAGGTGCAGACAACATTCTTGACAGATATAGCGGGGACGGATGAGGCATGCTTTTCACACGAAATGAAATGGGCAATAGGCCGAACACCCATTACTGCGCACTGGGAAAATCGATCATGTCCTGCCTACGTTCAACATCAAATATGGTTTTAGATTAATGTTTGGTGTGGAATTTATAGCAGGCTAATCGGCTTAATATTTTACCAGGGTACGTTAATAGCCGTACAATATTTAGAACTTCTGCAAAATAGAATACCCGACATTGTTGAGAACCTGCCGTTGTTTCAACTCAGGAATGGATGGTTTCAACATGACTGCGTGCATATGCACAAGAAGTCGCTGGTGAAGCAGTACCTGATGGAGGAATTCGGAGAACGAAGTAATTGGGTATGGTGGTTTCGAAGAGTGGCCTCCACATTCACTTGGCCTGACGCCAGTCGATGTTTTCCTATGCAGATACTTCAACAGTACGTACTTGTCACCCGCTATACTTCAACGCATGAAACATAAAGTTCTAACAAAGGTCCAGATGTGCATTTCAGCTGATGGAAAGTTTGAATATCGAAAAAGATGGTAGTTTGTGATAACTATATTTTTTTTCTTTCTAAGATTGTTTCGTGATGTCACAGTTTCAATAACCGCAAACAAACAAACGCGCGTTTAAAACGTTCTGTTCTTAACATTCATGTCTGCGAGATGTCGTTTCGTACTAAATCGACTATACTCTACAACTTTGTAATTCACTTTTTCCTCTTGTCTTGTATCGTTTTCAAGAAAGAGACGCTAACTCCGCAATTTTCCAACATGTGGTGCTGTAAGCTATCTCATTTAGTAGCACATAGCCACTTTACTATACCTGGATACCACTTTTATGACTATAGCCACAGCCGTTCTGCAGTTAAATGGGTGGTACCGGACTTTAGTGAGCACCCTGTATATTCAATGGTGGGCACTAGCGATTTTAGACTTAAGCCACTACTGAGGCCAGAAGCGGTGGTAATTTTATTTTATGCATCTAGAAAGCGGCTATTTTTTCCTCCTATGAAGTGAGAGGCAATTTAGATCCTTGCGTTTTCGGGCATTTGAATCCAGACTCTTTGGTTCGGCAGCAAGTGTTACTAACCACTTTTCACGTCTGGCGGCTGTTGCTAGTATACAGCTGGTATTGAAATATTTTTTAATGGAAAATAAATATTTGTAGTTCTTAAGTACTTCTTAAATGATTTTTAGCTGGAAAACCCTTGACACAACTAGCAACACGTATCGGCAATTGTGAGAAATGTTCATATTAGTATTGCAATATTCAGAACATTGATCTTCAGATTGTATTTTAGAATAAACTTCAAAAATTTAAAAGTACCGCTCTTCCCTGTTCGTGTTTCGTTTTCTTTCGGAAATAAACCCCTGGAATTCTTCTATTTTAGTGAGGAATCCTTTGTTATTAAAGTCAGTCTGATCATAATTTAGTTGATATTGATAATTTTCATTCAAATGTTTCGATGGAATAAAAAAAGACATAGCGAGAGTACGTAGCCATTAAAATATGGTGGAGATTTCTTTGAATACTTTATCTTGAGTGAAAACTACTTTTCTTCCCAACTCACTAAATTCACAAATTCTCAATTCACTTCTGAATGCTATTTTTCTTTCCGTAATTCAGTATCTCATTCCGAAAATAATGAAGAACACAAACTGAACAAAATTACAGAACCGACTTCTAAATGAAATAATAAATTTCTAAACTCATTCATTGTGCTTAAGAAAGGAAATTGTAATAAATTATTCTATGAAACGGTATTATAACGTTATTATTTATATCGGAAATATCATTTTCATCAAAAATTCTGTAAAGACAGTTTAAGCTGTACAATCTATTATTCTCACTGCATTTAAATACTTACCTCATAATACTTCAGCCATATTATCAATAAATTTGGTAAGAATTATTAAATATATTATTAAAACATTTTGAATCGGTTTATATATCAAGAAGCAGAATTTTTAAAATTATATACTGGAATTTTAAGGGAAATATTAGTCGCTATGGAGGTCTGATTGGTTGTGGTAAATAACTTCTTTCGTTATCTTTTTTGTCATATACGTTTTGATGGAGCAATGACTATGCTTACGTAATAGACTCATAAGAATCCCGTTTAGTGGAAATTCAGATTAAAAAAAAAAAAAAAAAAAAAAAAAAAAAAAAAAAAAACGTAAACGTAAAAAGTAACTCTCTCGTTTACAATTTGCCCCTAGCTCCCCTATCTTATATTTCAGAAATTTTATTGTATTGTTTACAGAAGGGTTACTGGAGAAATTAAAAAAAAAAAAAAAAACTTTTAGAATATAACTGCCGATTTTGCTAAGAGAAAAACAAGTAGCACATTTTAGAATGTCGGAACTAAAGATTTTTTTTTTTTTTTTTTTAAATCAACTCAACTTTTAGTGGTTTCTGTATATATTGTTTTGAAATTTTATAAACATATCAGTTGCACTGAATGAGACAACATTTCCACTGGCGGTAAAAAGTCTGGCCATGAACACAAAAGCTGTTAAATATGGGAAACATAGCTTTACAGAGTTAAGGTAGTTTAAATAATATGTCTATAATTAAAAAAGTCACAAATTCAAAAATACATACTGAAAACTATGCAAATAAATTTCTGCGACTTACCTTTAGCAGCTGCTGCATAGGTAATGTATGCAGCAAGCATGACTGCGGATACAATGTAATTCGAGATCATCTTGAAAGCAAAGTTTTACCACCTTTTCTTTCGAAGCAGTTTTGAACTTGACTCGAGAAAAGTCGAAGAGTTGTCGCTCTTTCTGCTGTTACTCTTTATATACCAATCACCAAGGACTAAAATGCGTTCCTGAAGCAAAAACTGAAATGTAATTACAAGAAGCAATATTGACGTTTCATATCGAATTTGTGTCTCTCTGAACACTCAGTCGGCATTTTCCTGTTAAACGGTGTTTTCGTAAACTATAAATCGATCACGAAGAACACTTTTGTGATCTTAAATACATTTGTTCAAACATCACAAAATAAGAATTTTTTCGGAAGAATTTATTATTTTCTGTCTTATCTTTATTCTTGTACTCTTAGCTAAACATAATGTTTATTCTGAACACACAATTTAATGGAATCTATATTTGTGGAAGGCAATGCAAAAATAAGTAACAACAGGAGGGTAAGTATTCATTTACAACATGCTTTTAGTTCAATAATTCCTAAATCACTTTTATTGATCTACTTCAGTCAGAAATAATTTAGAATACATGTCCTAATAGAGTCAACAAATTATCTACGAAGTAAATGTCATTAGCACTTAGAGTAAAATCAAATTACTGAAATGTGTAGCACTTAGAGTGAAATCAAATTACTGAAATGTGTAGCACTTAGAGTGAAATCAAATTACTGAAATGTGTAGCACTTAGAGTGAAATCAAATTACTGAAATGTGTAGCACTTAGAGTGAAATCAAATTACTGAAATGTGTGGCAGCGATTCAGGAATTTATTGAAGTTTTATTCCAAACAAACAAAAATTTTTTTATTAAGTAATATGTAAGAATAAATAAGTTTAATTAGCCTAAAGAGGTATTTCGTTTTGGCATTTTGTGTTGGTTAGCTATAAACGGTGTTTCACTTTTCGAATTACTGCCACCAAATATTAGAGCCTGTTTTATATTTAAAGGAATTAAATAATGAAGATTCTGCCTTAATGTATGTATTTTTCTCGCACTGTGAAAAAACAATGATACCTAGAGACATCAAATTCTCAATAACGTAGTCCTCCACTCGAATATGGGCATCTGGAAGCCCAAATTTGAAATTTATTTTATTATTCATTTTCTATTTTGCAAAACTTTGACGAATTTTTGATTAACAAACTCAAAGATTTCAAAGCGAGCAATGGCAACACAGTACCGGGAAAAAAAAAAAAAAAAAAAAAAAAAAAAAAATTATCTCCAACAGGCGAGACAGTGTATCGGAAATTCTAAAGATATGCTGTTTTTAAATTATTTTGTGGTATTGCTGTTGAATTGAATTTTATGATTTTATAAGTGCAAAGAACATGACATGACATTTAATAAATAAAGGTAACACACAAAACGTTAAAAAAATACCCCTTTGGGAGTAATATAAAATCTGAAAGCTTTCAGATTTTTTTTTATCTTATAAAGTTTACCTTACAATAGCATTCTTAACATCTAGGAAAATACTTTTTAAGACACAAAAGAAACATTAATATATATTTTACAGTTAACGTGGGAAAGCTTAGTTAGAATACCAAGTTGTTTCTTGAAGTAACTGATTATCGCCTGGAATCAAACGCAGGTAGGAACTACTAGTGTCCAGCAAATTTACCGTTCAGTCGCTGGTAGGCCTTCAAAAAGGCCTCTGATTCTTCCCGCTTGTTAGCAATAGCTACTATATTGCGGATGATTACAATTAAGGGGTGTTGGAACCCCAAAATCTTCAAAAAATTGTAATTTCGGATTTTTGCATTTTCAAATTCTCCACACTTTTATCTTTCTAAAAATACCATTCTTTAATCTCTATGAAAATTAGAACTGTAAAGAATCCAGTTTTAATTTGTCATCTACTGCTTTGATCAATGAGGATTTTTACCTAAAACGCGTTTTTCTCCAAACGTGAATTTTTTTTTTATACTCGATGTACCTTTTCTCAGGAACTACTGCTCACAGGTATCTAAACTTTTTATGGCTTATTTATTAGGTTTCCTAATATTTACTAAAATGTGCTTTTTGTAATAAATTTAGAAAAAAAAAAAAATTAAAATTTTTTTTGTATGAGAAAAGTTCTACCATGCCTAACAAAATATTCTGTAATTTACTCTAAAATTCAAAATATTTCAAAAGCTCATTTCAGTATAATCAGATAGGTATACTTTAATTACAGAAAAATTTCAAGCTTGTATCTACAGCAGATTTTGAGAAAAAGTACATCCAATATGGCCAATTTAACATTGTCGGTATAGGGGTTTCTGATACCCCTTAAAGTTTTTAATTCAGATACTTACGCGCAATATTTTTGTAACTGAAACTACTCAAAGAACGAATGTAAAGATATCACTCCAGTCATTTGCTACAGATGAAAGTTTAAATAGCGTCAGGGATTTTAACAATGTTTATGTAAAACGCAGTGTGTCAATAAAAAACATTTGTTTTGTAAAAAGTGTATTGTCAAATTATTTGCAATTCCAAGTGCCATTATAATAATCCCTATTGTAGTAAGATTTTTCTGATTTTGCATGGTTTATATTCAATTAAATTTTTTATTTTACATTTTATTTTTCTAGTATCTGTTAATTAATAAAATAACAAACTGAGGAGTGGAAATTATACACTTTATACGCTGCCTTGACGAGTTATTTCATAAAATAACTAGGTATTCTTTAAAATAACAGAATTATACTATTTATCGGTATCATTTACATACATTTATTCCGGGGGGGGAAGGCTATTTCTGCTAAGCTACTCAGTATTAATTCGGAACTCAAACAACAAAATTCACCGTTATATTTTCAAAATTTTCACAGGACTAGTTTCGATGGTTTTACCGAACCACCATCCTCAGCTGCAAAACCGCAAATGAACAAGATAGGAAATAATGATTAGATAAGATAAGAAAGCTTGGACAAGAGTAAGCAAGTGGCAATCTGTTGGTGAAACCAGGACTAAAACATAATTTCTTTAAAGGCCGAAGGCAAAGATGGATTAATATTAGGATCGTTAACTAGAACAGAAAGATGTTTTTGAATGTGAAATTCCTCTATAAAATCCAGTTCTCTAATGGAAGATGTTTTTTGAATAATTTTGGCAGCAGAAAAATTGAAAGTGGGATTTTCGGACCAACAATGTTGAGCAACAGAAGATTTCTGTTTTTCCTTTTTTCTAACATATGCGTCATGTTCCTTCACTCGAAATTTTAAGGCTCTCTTAGTTTGGCCATTGTAAATTAAACCACACTGGCAAGGAATCCTATAAATACCCCAGGAATTCATATCCGGAATGGAGTCCTAGTGTATGGAACTCGGAATTTTATTGATGGGAGAATAAACGACCCGAAAGTTAAATTTCTGCAAAATATGTGCAACTTTATAGCTAATTGATGGAAAGAAGGGAATAACAACAGAATTTTTATAATCTTCTAAAACAAGAGTGGGCTTTTTAGTGTGTTGAGATGAGAATTTTTTAACTGTTTGATTAATAATGTTGGGTGAAAAGCCCCTGTCAATAGCTATTGCTTTTAAATAATTTAGTTCTTCATCAAGGACTAGTTTGGAGAAGCAAACTTGAAGAGCACGGTAAACACAGGAATAAAATGAAGCTAACTTTTGTTTAGTCGGATGACATGATTTAAAGTGTGGTGGAAGGCAAACCGATGAAGGTTTACGGTAAAGCGTAGTACTGAAGTTTGTTACGTGTGACCAGAATGTCGAGAAACGGAAGAGAATTGCAAGTCTCAAGTTCAAAAGTGAACTGAATAGCAGGATCAATAGAATTCATTGTTGAAAGAAATTTATTTAAATCATTTTTATTACCTTCAAACAGGGTAAAAGTATCGTCTACGTAACTGAACCATGCCGGGAAGTTTAAAGTTTCAAACAATTTAGATTCATAATAATGCATGTAGATATCAGCCAGGATGGGATTGAGGCGGCTTCCCATGGCTAATCCCTCAGTTTGCTTGTAATATTTATTTTGGAATACAAAATGTGTTTGTTTCAAACAGAGTTGAGTGAGAGAAATTAGCTCATCAATTTCGATGCAAGAGAAATGAAATTCGCGAATTCTGGTTTCTAGACATCTTAATGCACCCTCCACTGGAACATTGGTGAATAATGATTTTACATCAAAAGAAACCATGAGTAAATTTCTAGGAGAAATGTTTTTAACTTTTTTTACAAACTCTATTGAATTTTTATGGTGTAAATGTTATTGTCTAATAGAGTTGAAAATCTAGAAACTAAATATTTAGCTAATGGATACGAGGCAGTACCTAAATTTGATACAATAGGGCGGAAAGGAATACCACTTTTATGAATTTTGGGAAGAGCATATAATCTGGTACAATTCGCAACAAATGGGATAAGCGAATGTTTTAAGTTGCTTGAAATGATTTGTGAAGATTTGATCTCAGTTTTTATTTTTGACAGGTCCGACGGTGAAGGATCTTTAGGGATCGGATTATATGGTCCTTCGTTTACTCAGTATTATTTATGTGTGGCAAAGCATATTAGTGAAGAAATTTGTGTTTTTAAGAAATGCATTCTATTCCTTTTGATTTATCGTACGGGCACTTCTGATAGACTGTGTTGTATAAAACTGCTGAAAGTTTCTATATTTTATTAAAAATGCGAAGTTCTATATACCTGAGCGTATTTTTTACGAATTTGCGAAGAAAAGTGTCTTATTTAGAAAATCAAAAAGTATTTTTTTAATATTCTAGAGTGCCTGTAAAGAAAAGATTTGTCTTGCGTAAAGAGACATTATTTAATTTTACTATCTATTTAATTGATATTGGAGGATAAAGAGATTCTAGTAATCTTTCTACTGTAAATGAAGAACGTTCCAACAAATGGTGTGGTTTCTGAGTTTGTAGTGCAGTCATACTACAAAATATATTAAAAAACCTGTTTTATCGGAGTTCAAACATTCTATCTAGATATGTTTTATTCATTCATGACTTGATTCAACGTGTGAACGCTAATTCATTAAAAATTCTTTTGGAACTAAACATCCCACTGCCATCAGCAAATTCTAAGGCTGATTCAATTTGTGAGGACCTGCACATTTTGAT